TTTGACCCAAATAAAATTGAAATTTGCTATGTATCATCTTAGTCCCTAACTTTTCAAAATATTAAAATATAACATATAAAAATTTAATTCTATTTCACGAAAATTTGGGACTTTACAATCTTCCCTCCTTAAAAGATTTTCGTCCTCGAAAATTTACTTTGACTAATTGAAGAGTTCTGGATACTTGGTTCTAAGCTCGTTTTCCTTCTCCCACGTTGATTCATTAAATCCATGATTTCGCCATTGAACCTTCACCAGGGGGACTTCTCTATTTCTGAGTTGATGCATCTTTCTGTCCAAAATCATTGTCGAGATTTCTTCGTATGATAAATCTTTTTGTACGTCCAATGTCGGATAGCTTACCACATGATTGGGATCATGAATATATTTTCTGAGCATCGATACATGGAACACGTTATGCACTGCCGCAAGTTCAGGGGGTAAGGCAAGTCGGTAAGCCACAATATCAATCCTTTCAAAGATCTCGAAAGGTCCAATAAATCGCGGTCTCAATTTTCCCTTCTTGCCAAATCTCAATACACCCTTCATGGGTGCTACTTTAAGGAAAACTTTGTCACCCACACTAAATTCCAAATCCTTTCTCCTACTATCCGCATAACTTTTTTGTCGATCTTGTGTTGTCTTTATTCTGGCTCTAATCTTGTCAACTGCCTCAACTGTTCGTTCGATGATTTCAGGACCCAAAATTCTATTCTCTCCGACCTCATCCCAATGGAGTTCCTACCATAAAGAGCTTCATATGGGACCATACCTACAGTGGCCTGGAAGCTATTGTTGTAAGCAAACTCTACTAAAGGCAGGTGTGTCTCCCAACTACCTCCAAGATCCAAAACACATGCCCTCAACATATCTTCTAGAGTTTGGATAGTTCTTTCTGATTGTCCATCCATTTGAGGATGATAAGCAGTGCTAAACTTCAATTTCGTCCCCATGGCTGTCTGCAAACTTTTCCAAAATTTAGACGTGAACCTCGGATCTCTATCTGAAATGATAGTGACTGGAACTCCATGCAATCTGACTATCTCTTTGATGTATAGCTATGCAAACTGTTCCATGTTGAAGTTTACCTTGATTGGTAGAAAATGGGCCGACTTCGTCAAACGATCAACCACTACCCAGATAGCATTGTGACCTTTTGCTGTCCTTAGGAGGCCTACCACCAAGTCCATCGTTATGTGTTCCCACTTCCATTCTGGAATATCCAACGGTTTCAGTAGTCCTGATGGTCTTTGGTGTTCTGCCTTGACCTGCTGACAGATAATACATTTCTCAATGAACTGACCAATTCCTCTCTTCATATTTCTCCAAAAAATGTATCTTGGAGATCTCGATACATTTTCGTACCACCTGGATGTGCTGAATACGGGGCAGCGTGAGCCTCTTCCAGTATCTCATTTCTTATACTTTCATCTTTAGGTACACATAACCTTCCTTTGAAAGTCAGCGCGTTATCTACAGACATTTCAAATCCCATACGTTTGTTTGTGCCAACCTCATCCTTTATCTTCTGTAGAAATGGATCCTTATTTTGTGCCTCCTTGATTTGATCCCGAAGAGTAGGTCGAATCATAAACGCTCTTACTCTTGCTGTAGTTTGAGTCGGTGGTGTGATAACTTCCAATCTCAATTTCTTAAAGTCCCTTATCAAGTGTTTCTGCACTGTGGATAGAATTGTTAATTGTGATCCTGTCTTTCTGCTTAGGGCATCTGCAACTACGTTAGCCTTACCCGGATGGTAATGAATCGTGCAATCGTAATCTTTCAGTAGTTCCAACCATCTTCTCTATCTCATATTCAGTTCCTTCTGTGTGAAGAAGTATTTAAGACTCTTGTGGTCTGTATAAATTTCACACTTCCCACCATGGAGATAATGACCCCATATCTTTAAGGTGTGAACTACCATTGCAAGCTCCAAGTCGTGTGTTGGATAGTTTTGTTCATACTGCTTCAACTGTCTCGAGGCATAAGCAACCACTTTTCCATGTTGCATCAGTACACAACCCAAACCCTACTTGGAGGCATCGCTATAGATCACAAATCCCTCTGAACCTTCAGGTATCGTCAATACAGGAGCCGAGACTAGCCTCTGCTTGAGTTCTTGAAAACATTTTTCACATTTTTCCGTCCACTGAAACTTCACACCCTTTCTTGTTAACTGAGTCATTGGTCCTGCTATTTTTGAGAAACCTTCAATGAATCTTCTGTAATAGCCAGCCAACCCCAAGAAACTGTGAACTTCACCCACACTGGTCGGCCTTGGCCAATTTGTTACTGCTTCCACTTTAGCAGGATCTACTTTGATTCCTTGGGCGATAACCACGTGACCAAGGAAACCTACGCGATCAAGCCAAAATTCACACTTCTTGAATTTAGCATATAATTTATCCTTCCTCAAAGTCTCAAGTACTACTCGGAGTTGTTCCTCATGCTGCTTTTTATCTTTGGAGTACACGAGTATGTTGTCAATAAATACTATGACAAATTGATCTAGGTATTGATGGAATACTCTGTTCATGAGACCCATAAATACAGTTGGAGCATTGGTAAAACCAAAAGGCATGACAGTGAATTCATAATGTCCATAACGAGTTCTGAAAGCAGATTTTGGTATATCGCTTGCCCTGATTTTCAGTTGATGATACCCTGACCTCAAGTCGATCTTTGAAAACACTGAAGAACCCCTTAACTGGTCAAACAAATCTTCTATTCACGGTAGCGGGTACTTATTTTTTATGGTCAGATGGTTCAATTCCCAGTAGTCGATGCACATCCTCATATTCCCATCCGTCTTCTTGACAAAAAGTACAGGCGCTCCCCAAGGAGATACACTTGGTCGAATAAAACCTTTCTCCAATAAATCCTCTAATTGCAACTTCAATTCTTGAAGTTCTTTCGGTGCCATTCGGTATGGGGCCTTAGATACTGGTGCTGCTCCAGGAACCAAATCAATTGTAAATTCCACCTGCCTATCTGATGCAATGCCTGGCAATTCTTCTAGGAATACGTCTGCAAAGTCTCGCACGATGTTAATATCGTTAACAGTCATTTCTGTATGTTGAGAACCGATGATGTTAACTAAGAATCCCTGGCATAACTCCTTTCTCAACATCTTCTCCGCTTGTAAAGCCAATACAAGGCGAGGTGGAGACTTGAACTTTGCTCCAAAGAAACGGAACCCTTCCTCTCCTGGTCTATGAAATAGCACTTTTTTTTTCGTGACATAGAATGGTTGCATGATTAAGTCATAACCAATCCATGCCTAAAATAACATCGAAATCTTTCATTTCCAAGAGGTATAAGTCTGCTTCCAATATTTTTCCATCAATCTCTAACTTCATAGATTTAGTCATCTGGTTCGTGTAAAGAGTTTTTCCTGACGGGATGCTAATCTCTAATTCATTATTCATTCTAACACATGCAAAGTTGGACCTAGCGACGAAGGATGCAGATATAAAAGAATTGGTAGCCCCAGAATCAAAAAGTACGTAAACAGGGACATTGGATAATAACACAATACCTATTTTTTTGTAATTATAGTGTTAGACTAGCAACTAAAGGACAGAGATGAAACGACATTTAGTCCTAGGTAAAAAGAACATAGGCAGGTATGTTAAAATAAATATTAATAAATACCTGCTATCATATTCAAATCCTGCTCCGCCTCATGCTGATTCAGTGCGAAAACTCGGGCCTTTCCTTTTGGGTTCTTATCTTGGTCATCATCTTTCTTTCGTGGAGGCTCTGTACAGTGTAAAGCAATATGTCCCGGCTTACCGCACCAAAAACACATGTTCTTTCCGAAAAAGCATTCACCTCGATGAAATTTATTACTCTTAGGACAAGGTGTAACACTTTCACTCGTCCTACCGATATGAACTCCTTTGTTTGGTCTTTTATTCTGCCAGATACGTTTGTTCTTACTCTGATCACTCCACTTTCTTTTCCCCAACGATTCCTTGCTTTGCTAGGTATATTGTTCAAATGTAGTCCTTCGATATGAAATAGCATGAACCCTCTCCAACATTTCACAATATGAAGTGAAACGATGGGACATAATGATCATGCCAATCTCTAGTCGCAGTCCATTCTCGAACCTTCTAATCTTCTTAACTTCAGTATCCACCAAGTGCGGGGCATATCTTGAGAGCTGTTCAAACTACCTCTCGTAATCAGTAAGTGACATGTTTCCCTGTCTGAGTTGCAGAAACTCGGATTCTTTGAAGTCTCTTAAAGCCTGTGGGAAATATTTTGCCATCACCTCATCCTTAAATTGCTCCCAAGTCAAGTTACGTTGTTGCTCTTCTGTTCTAGTGCATGAGATAGATTCCCACCAGTGACCGGCCACTTCAACTAGCAGGAATTCTGCGCATAGCACCTTCTGTGCATCCGTGCAAGCAATGTGTCGAAATATGGGCTCCAGACCTCTAATCCACTCCTCAACAGCTAGTGGGTCGAAACCACCGTCGAAAGTCGAAGGCTTGTACCTACGAAACTGCTCAACCACTGAGACGGCTCCAAGGACAAATGGAGATGCATTTTGTTGTGGCGGTGCATTCTGTAATGGTGGTGCTTGGCTCTGTCTGCTCAATTCTTGTGCCGCTCGTAGTAGTTCAAGTACCAAATTCGTGTGGGTAGGTGGTGGTGCCATTTCCTAAAGGAATTTAATAGTAAGTCATCCATTATATACTAGTTCTAAGCCTAACATATTATGCTTAAGTTTTGTAAGGTGATATAGCGTATTTCATGCTCGAGTATCAAGCTTTACATGATATATAAAATGTCATAAGGAAGAGTTGTTCATGTTATGAAACTTAAAAGTAGGCAATACTGGATGTAAAGTTACACTTAAAAATTGGAATTTAATACTTCATTTTCTCACCAATTACATACCTCAGGGGTGTCGGAGGGTGGCCGATTGGTGGTCGTGTGCCGATAATCCTTTCATCTTATACTTGCTTTAAGAAAATGGGTAATTTACATATAACCACGTTTAACTTAATAATTTTCAGCACGAATCCTATTCATGTACATACAAAAAAGTTGTATATAAATTTCTATGGAATTTCGCGCATGGTCAATGGAAACATCCTTAAGAATACAACTTTAATTCATCATCATTCTTTTTCTTTTTTTTGGACTGTTCACATCACCAGAGTTACTGTTTATGCATGAACAGTACACGGGCGAACTGTTCACGTGTGAACAGATTTATTTTATTTTAATTTAAATAATGGAAAATTGTTATTTCATCAACCATAAAATAATTCTTTCGGAAGCATGTACACGGTACTCTAACAGGCTTTAAACATAATGATCACATTGTTCACAGCACAACAAAATACAACATGACATTATGGTAATGTTTGACTTTTAAACATGAGAATTTGTTAATACATATACATACACACGCCATTTACTGTCCACCTAAAAACAAGTTTTTTTTTTTAAACTGTTTACGTGTGAACAATACACATGGGGTACTTGTGTCGTGAATAGTCACAGTGACCCTCTATATTTATTTATTTATTATTATTTTCGCATAAAATAAAAATGAGTCTACAGGAAAATAAATCTACGCTTTGATACCAAACTATAGCGACCCGATTTTATTTTTTTTACTTTATAAAAATCAAATAAATTTTTTTTAAAAACTTAAATCACTACCAGATGTTTCTTTAAAAAAAATAAATGGGTTTATAATGATGTTATCCCTTGTCAATAACCTAAAGAAATCTTAACATGTGAAATAAAAATCATGTTATGATGAACTTTGAAGAAAAATATATAAGGGGTTCCATTTTAGCAAGAAATATGCGTAAATGTTATTAAGCAATTTTCCTTACTGTCGTTAAAATAATGGTAATAAGCATACTTCATTCTCTTTTCCTCCAGTAAGTGAAACATGGCCTCAACTCCCCTAATCTAACGTCATTATAGGGTCTTCATTAATTTGTCATGCATGGATATATCCATAAATCAATTTGAAAGGCAGCAGTAGCACCCTAATCATTAAAATTAATACAAATCAAGGTGACATTATCATAAGTGTTCACAGAAAATAACGGATGGCTAGCAAGATGAATTGGACTATTATTAGTGGCTGGTGAAAATGAGTAATTTCCCCACATTCTTGCTGATTCGAGATTTCGGACATGCATATGTTACATTCTATCCATAATTAATTACATGTAAAAATTTGTTACCACTAATGAAAAATAGCAGTAAAGGGAAACCAAACAATTTAATTCAAATATTTAATTAAAAATGCACAGTAAATTTAATTATAAATAAATTTCCATGACAACTAGATTAAAATAAATGAGGTTACGTGCTAGATTTTAGATCTTTGTTCCTTAGACGAGACACGACCACACCATCAAACCGTCGCACTCCAACACGACCCGTACTAACCTGTAAGGTAGGGAAAAAGGGGTGAGTATGGGGAATACTCAGTAGGATACAAATATTCGTACAATCCCGAATAACATTTATCATTCATATATCAAAATAAATCATACCGTCATATCATATATTTAACCGGTAAGAGCTCAATCATATCATATCATTTGTACCAGATGGCCATATATGTCATATCATATCATTTCATATCATTAACGAAAATATTTATCAATATGAAATAACAAAAATTAAACGGGACAACCATTTGCACGTCGTATCCTACCTTAACCTTCAAATGCGTTTCAACCCAAAGAAAAATGTTGAGATATGAAGAATGCTCTATAAATTTTACTGCAAAGTCTTTCTTGTTTGAGTGAAATAAAAATATAGAAGAAAATGATTAATAAATATAGGATGGGGAAGTTATTAATTGTTGAAGTGAAGAAACCGTATGAACGTGAGATAAATGAAGGAATGTGGAAAATCTTTCATTTTAGTTGGGTAGTGGGGAAAATGTAGTAGGTATGTGGAAGTTTCTTAGAGGTGGCTAATTTGAGCGGGAGAGAGAAAAACTCAAATGAAAAGTAACGTGTGAAAATATAATATATATATATATATATATATAACTTCTTTTTTATTATTATTATTCAATTAGTACCACTACACGTGCCCCCATAATTTATAGATTCATTAATTTAACTTTATTAAAACCATTTAGCACCATATCTTTTGACCTCGATAATTTGGACTTCACTTAACCAAATCAACTTTTTCTCGAGTCTAATATGCGTCACTAATTTCAATCTATCCAACAAACCCAATATTCATATACTTATCGTTGCTTGGTCAAAATCTAATTATTTGACCCAAATAAAATTGAAATTTGCTAAGTATCATCTTAGTCCCTAACTTTTCAAAATATTAAAATATAACATATAAAAATTTAATTCTATTTCATGAAAATTTGGGACTTTACAACCTCTAGGCCCCTAAACTATGTCCACTCAGATTTATGGGGACCGAAAAGTCATCCTACATTTGGAGGGAATAAGTACTTTCTTTCTATAGTTGACGACTACTCTAAAAAATTTTGGACCTATCCATTGGAATCTAAATCTGAGACTTTTCAAAAATTCCGATCTTGGTTGAAGATGGTGGAAAATCAACTTGATAAGAAGTTAAAGACTCTAAGAACTGACAATGGATTAGAATTTTGCAATGCTGAGTTTGATAACTTCTGTAAGCAAAAAGGAATTGTAAGACACAGAACCGTTAAGTACACACCACAACAAAATGGGGTCGCGTAAAGAATGAATAGAACTCTAATGAACAAAGTAAGATGTATGCTAATCAGTTCTGGATTAGCGAAAGGTTTTTGGGCGGAGGCTGTATCTATAGCTGCTTATCTTATAAATCGATTTCCATGTAGTTCTGTTGGATTTAAAGCTCCACAGGAACTTTGGACGGGAAGACCCCCAAACCTTTATCATATTAGGGTGTTTGGATGTGCGGCATATGCACATCAAATTGAAGGAAAATTGGACCCTAGAGTTACTAAGTATGTGATGCTTGGGTACCCAGAAGGTGTTAAGGGGTACCGATTGTGGGTGTTAGGCGTTCAAGGCATTAAAATCATTAATAGTAGAAATGTGGTTTTCAATGAATCCGAAATGCCATGCCTAAAGAACAAAACTGATAATACGAAAGAGCAAATCAACGAGACTACTTCACGGAATGAGGTGAAGCTAACAAGGGTAAATCCCACTCAACATGAAAATATTGATGAGGGTGTTCAACAATCTGATGAAAATGTTGTTGACACGGATGAAGGTGAAGTAGGTCCGAGTGAAGTAGAAACTGAAATTGAAAATCCAAATGTTCCACTATTGAAACAAGTGCTCAAGATTATCAATTGGTGAGAGATTGGGAAAGAAGGTAAATTAAACCAAATCCAAGATATGAAATAAATAATTTGACCGACTTTACCCTTATCTCAGGTGAATCTTTAGAGTATTCAGAACCTTCATCATATAAAGAGGCTATGAATAGCTCTAACTCTAAAAATTGGAAAGATGCAATGAAAGAAGAAATGAAATCTTTACTTGAAAACAACACGTGGGAATTAGTAAAGAAACCCAAAAATCAAAGAGTTGTTCAATGTAAATGGATTTTCAAACTAAAAGAAGGGATTGTGTCATCTGACCCTTTGAGATATAAAGCGAGGCTAGTAGCCAAAGGATTTACTCAAAAAGAGGGTGTTGACTACAATGAGATCTTCTCACCGGTTGTCAAATATAAGACCATAAGGTTGGTGCTTGCACTAGTTGTTCAATTCAATTGGGAACTCGAACAATTAGATGTCAAGACGGCCTTCTTACAGGGTGAATTAGA